TTCACAGATAAGAGTTAGAATCATAGAATCTGATTCACAATGTTGATAACTTGGTATACCTACTTTAATATGAAAATTTACATAGAAATAAAAAAAGAATTTGTAATCACTGTGTTCAACATTTTTCGACTATTGATTCATATTTTTGATAGATAACTATCATCGATTTGAAGAAATAGAGCACAAAAAGAGTTTAAAAGGATAAATAATGTGAATGTTAGCAAAGAAAATGTCAAAATCCAAAACAATCTTTTCTTGATTTATTCTATTTTAATGGGGTTAAGATACATAATTTTTTATTTGTAGAAATTTGAGGTACCCAAAAATTGGAGGCCTAGGCCAATGCCTCACGGTCAAGTAATTTATGTTTGTGTTATCATAAAATCAGAAATCATGGAGAGATCGAGTTGTAGTCATGAGATTTATATTTATACAATAATTAAGTACTTTTGCATTAGTAGAGTTATTTATCAGTTTGTTAGCAATCAATCTTTTAATACTTTTAATCTTGACGAAATTTACTATTTTATGTATCAAATTAATAGACTTCACAATAACCAAGTTTACAGTACAAAACTGAACTTCGGATGACTAGTATTAATGTTAAAAATCAATATTTCTCTCACCAACAAAGAATTGAAGGCTGTTGAGAATATTGTGGTCTTCGGACCAGCTTGCGCGTAGGGGCGGAGCCACCTTATACTAAGAGGGTTCATCCGAACCCCTTCGACTGAAAATTATATTATGTATACATAGTTGAAATATTTTTTATGTATATATATATTGGATGTCGAACCCCCTTCGACTACTTCGTATGTCTATTTCTATAGATTTTGAACTCCCTTATTGAAAATTCTGGCTCAACCACTGCTTGCGCGTACTTTGACTAATTACACGAGATCTCTGTTATTCCCACCAGCATCCACAAAGGTTTAGATGATCTAATTTCCAGCTTAAGAAAGACAAGCTAGTAAAATAACCACTGTAGTTCTTACACGTCTATCTGAGTTGTTGTTGATGATGATAATGTTGATGATGACGACGATGATCTAGGTACTAAGTGAGTTGATTCATATCTTCTGTCAAATAACTTGATGCAATATCTTATTTTAAGTGGTTAGTAATTACAATCAATAATCAATTAACCGAATCATAAATTCGGACCATAGAGGTCGACGATTCTCCTCATCTTCGATACTGCTGAACAACGGAAGTAGTACAGAGAAAGTCTACAAGAGGCAAACATCCACCGTAGTTGGATGAAGGATTTTGTATCCTTAAATGTGCATAAAAATATTCCTTCCAAATATATCTCCTATGATCATTTAACTCCAAAATATCAAGCTTATCTTGCTACTTTCTCTAGTGTTGTTGAACCTACATCTTATGGAGAGGCTGTGAATCAACAGGGATATGGAAGTGTAGTGTCGTTCATCAAAACTCTCAATTTGAACAATGGAAGCAGATGTTTATCCATATAGCAATACAAATTAATGCTATATGACATGAAAGAAAAAGAGCAAACACGGATATACAACACAGTTGGTAATGTTCACAGCCAAAAAATCAAATTGACATAAACACACAATTTAGAAATAGAATCGCGAGTGATTCAACACTTCACTTTTCGTTGCAGGAATAAGAGGACTATTATCTGCAGCTGACGCTGATTACCTTCTTGGTGAATGAAGTTGTGCAACTCAAGTTGCCGAAGCAATCTGATTCTCTAAATGGAGAAGTCTCTCTAGATGACCAAGCTGGTAATCAACGTCATACTGCATATAATAGTCATCTTATTCCTTCAACAGGCCGAGACAGCTCCATTAGCTCTCTTGTTCACTCCCCCTGGTCTGATTACGGGGCTATTACATATTTGAATCGTAGCTTTCGCTTAATAATTAGGACTGGGGAGGTTTACAGACTGTAGCATCAACATGGGGTGGTTGAACATTGGGATGCATGTACCATCAGTGAATCCCAATGAATGCTTTGTGTTCTCAGATAAGGAGTCTTTTGCAGTTAGGACAGAGCTTCTTGTGTTTGTAAAGGAGATTTTGTCCATGTCATTTATCGTTACAGTATATTGACAAATTAAACACTTGGTCATCTGGAATGCACCAAGGTTTTTGTTTGGCTCAGCCAGTTTTGGGGAGATTTCCATTCTAGCTGGTGTTTGTGACTCACGGGGTAATATACTTAGCTCAGTAAAACTTTAAAATTCTGAGACTAGAACATGCAAGATTTAACCAAGCATGAAAAAGCGGTGTAAGATGTGTTCTAAGGTATTTATGGATAGAAAGTTTATTATTTTTTCTATGTTGTCTTTGAAGTTTTGATGATTTAACAAACTTTGGACCTGATCCCAGACGAAACTGAGAGTTTCGTAATTGTAAAAAGACAGTTGTCCAAGAGCTGCAGCCTGCTGTGATTGGTGCACATCTTTTGGCTGAACAACACTCTCATCCAACGAGAGTGCTCAAAGGATTTGTGTTCATCTTATATTAGTCTTGCCTTCAACAACAAAAAACAGTTTTTGAATTCAAACAAAACTCACAAGCGCAAAAAGGCAATGCCATTCTCTCAAGAAATATTATTCGGAAGAACAACATGGGACCTGATAGAGTTATCATTGTTCTTAGTTTTCCTCTAGGTTAATATTTCTGTGCTTATCATGTGTAAATCTATTCCTGTGTTATAAAGGAATTAGATCAGCTGCTTGTCTGAGTTTTTTAGCTTTGAATCATATTAACTAGAGTTAGCCGCCGAATCTGCTATATTCTAGTCAAGTGTTTCTTTGTTTGATGTTCTTTTGGGTAGAGTTGCCTAAATGTATCAACTAGAGTTAGTTTAAGTGTGGATGCAGCAGAGTTGATGTTTGTTTCTTCTCTTAGCCTTGAGATCTGAATTGGTGGCTAGAGTTAGCCAGTTGGCTTGAAGGCTAGATCGACTGAAGCTAGTTGGTTTAGTGGGCAATAGAGTTATTGCTTAGTTCTTTTGCTTGTAGTAGAGTTTCTACAGTAAGGGGGAGGGATCAAGAGTTTAATTCCTAGATTACTAGGGATTTGTAATCTGAAGCTTTGCTCCTTTATAGTTAATTGAGTTTGGGTTGAAATCCTGTGAGACAGGTCGTGATTTCCTCCTCTATTGAGCAAGGGGGTGTCCACTAAAAACTCTTCTGTGTGTTTTACTTCCAGATTCTTACTTTCTGCATTGTAATTCGGTAAAGGGACCTGATCCATTAATTATTAGTGGACGCATACATTCTATCGAAGTTTTATGTAATTGGAGGCAATGGAGGAACAGAGTTGTCAAAGGTAGTAATGACTTGTGGAAAGGAATATGATCTGGAACAAGAAAATGGACTGAATTTTCGAACATGTCTTCTGTCCGAGCTAAATCTAGGGGTGATACGCCTGCTACATCTGAAGAACCGCCTTTGGTGGCAGTTGTAAATAATGATTGCATGCTACTGTTTATGCTAACATGGAGGTGAGGAAGTATGACAAGCAAAATAAAGCGCAGGTTACCATGAATGGTTGGGATTTGGCTTTTAGAGCTTGTGGTGATAGGTTAATTGTAATTGGAGAGCCTAGAGCCATTGGTGTAGGGCATTTTGAAGTGAATTCATGGGTTCCAAGTGAAGGACCCTATCAGTGGAACTTGCTTTGACGAAAGCAATCGATGCTTTGTGTATATCTGTGCTGTTGTGGGTTGTTGATCATGTGATAATTGCTAGTCGAGACAGAATGGGTTTCTGGGATTCTTTCCAATCTCTAGCTCCGTTACACAGTTTCATCATATGACTTCATCTCAAACTTTAACCTTGATTTCCCATGAGAATGCTGGTTAAAGTTTTCCATGTCTCTTTTTCTTGAGGACTCATATTGTGGCTGGCATAGTCTATGCATCCAATGCTAGTAATGTACGTATGGATAGACTTGCAAGAAAGGTTTAACAAAATTGATGGTTCACGAACCTATAATCTACATTAGGAAATAGCTTGTATTACTCGGTGTGCAATCTGTATCTGTGTATCTAGAGGTTGAAACTGTATCAGTTTCGAATGGGCTCAATTATACATATACTCACAAGAACAGTATGATCAAACCTGCAGAATGCTAGAAAACGAGAAGAGTACCGTACCCTCAGCTACATCAAACAACTCAACTCACATATGAAGAAAATAATGTGCAACTCAGACAACAACAGAGTCATGTAGTCAACATTGCAGTGCAACATGAAGTCTACAAGAGGCAAACATCTATACCTAGTTTATGAGATTCTCATCACTGATGACAATCTACAACCAGAGAGTATGATTACTGATAAACGAATAGGAAAGCTGGTATACCTCACAGTAACCAGGCCTCATATATGATTGTGAGATTCGTTAATTTTCAAAATTCTTTATGTTTTGAGCTTTCTTCTGTTTTATTGTCAATACAGCAATGCTTCTTCACTCTTCTGTTGGCCTCATTTACTTTTGGTTTTGGAGTCGGTGAAACCAATTTTCTTGGTACATCAATTAAGGTTCTTACAAGTTACTTCACTCATGCCATAGTAATTTTAATGGAAATATGCACTATAGCTTCAACAAACAAAAGTTTAGTATTTGCAATCGATAGCCGTGAGTGGGATTCTTCACTTCAAAGATTTACAATATATTTGGATGAATTTGAGTGAACAAAATCTTATCATAAAATAAAACAGTTCCTGAAAGATTATCAATTAAATATTTAGGTGGAGCAGAAGCTAAGGGTGAAAGGACATACAAGCACTCAGTGCGTTCCAGTTTGAACCAAATTACTCTAAGGAAACTAGACTTTCAACATAACTATAAATGCTTTTGATGTAGTTTTCCTTAGGAAGCCCCGTGATTTTTAATTCCCTCCAACTCTTTCTCGTGACATCATTACACAAACAAGCACTACCCGACTTGAAGATGACGACGAATACAATCTCCCCATCACGAGCCATGACGGATGATAGGAATCCAGGCTTCATACCATTCCATATTGAGGGAACGCCAATGAGTTCCACAATGCAATAGTTTCACATTTTTCAGATTTAATATCAAGTGCAGCTATATCACCATTAATAAGCTGATAGATAACTCCACTAATGCAAACACTAGGCTTAAAATACGGAATAGCAAAGGAAATGTTTTTATTCTCTCTCCATGATTCGTCTATGCCTAAAGTGAAAATCCAGTGTCTTTCTTTGTACCTTGAAAAAACTTTGAACTTCTTTTCTTCAGGCTCAAAACCTAATGAATAGTTACAAGAAGAAAATTCTCCATCTATGTTGGGAAGAAATCTCACTTGTCTTGTACTCGGATTGAAAATTGCAGCAGGTCGGGTAGATAATGAGTCCCACATGCAACATAAACCATTAACGCCATTCAACTGAGAATAATATGCAAGGCCATGGAGGTAGAGGTAATTATATCTCGCAATTTGCAAAAAAAGGGGCGGAGTCTGTTTCATCTTCTCTTTGCTCAGCCGTGAAAAAAATTGATTCCCATTTTTCGCGCAGAATGAATTTCGTTCCGCCAGAACGGCTCATAGAACGACAAGTATGGATATTCACAAAATCTGACTCCGAGACAAGAGACTTACAAAATTTTGTACTACACTTGAAACGCAATAAAGATTTAACCGGAAGCCATAAAAATATTTCAAACATAATTTCTTCAGGAATCAATAAATTCATCTTATGATTCATAGTTGCACGTTGTTGTGTTTTTTTTAGGTCAAACAATTTCATTATAGAATGTATATTTATCAGTTCATTTATATTGAGGTTTAATGACTTTAGGACTCTTTCTTTTTCTCTCTCTCTAAAAATAGTACTAGTACATTTTTTCTATTAGAATTAGGAGAAAAAGGGTAAAATTATTGATCGGAAATACAACTTCTTCCAAAGAGTCCACTTAGGATTAATTTAGACTTTTTACTAGTATCACTTTAGGTTTAGAAGTCTTTTACCAAACCATTACGTAGCTTTAATTAAATTCGTTTTATATTATTAATTTATTGACCAATATTGTAGAGGTAGATTATGCAATGTGTAAAGTAAATAGAAATTCTCTTCTCATATATGATATTTATTTATTTTTGCTATTGGGTATATAATTCTGTAGATTAATATTATTTATAATTAATTATTGTATAATTCTCTTTATATCTTTTAAAATGTGTAATTTTATTAATTATTTATTGCCAATATCTATCTATATATAAGCTATTTATATATAATAGGAGGAGTAAAAAGTGCCACATGTCAGCACCACATAATTTCTTAGATTTATATACAATTAAAATTATTAAAATTAATTATTTGTAGTTAATTTAAATAATACATTACAATTAAAAAACAAATTAAAAATTTAAAGCATTTTAAAAAAAATTAATGTGATATATTTCAATACAGTATAAAAGTCGTATAATTTTAAAGCATTATTTAACTGATATATAAAATTGTAAAAATAATTTAAAGTTACCTTAAATTAACATCAATTGGAAATAAAATATTATATAAATATTTTAAAAACTTTACATAAGGTTTATTATAGAAACATATAAATATTTTAAAAACTTTACATAAGGTTTATTATAGAAACATATAAATATTTTAAAAACTTTACATAAGGTTTATTATAGAAACATATAAATATTTTAAAAACTTTACATAAGGTTTATTATAGAAACATATAAATATTTTAAAAACTTTACATAAGGTTTATTATAGAAACATATAAATATTTTAAAAACTTTACATAAGGTTTATTATAGAAACATATAAATATTTTAAAAACTTTACATAAGGTTTATTATAGAAACATATAAATATTTTAAAAACTTTACATAAGGTTTATTATAGAAACATATAAATATTTTAAAAACTTTACATAAGGTTTATTATAGAAACATATAAATATTTTAAAAACTTTACATAAGGTTTATTATAGAAACATATAAATATTTTAAAAACTTTACATAAGGTTTATTATAGAAACATATAAATATTTTAAAAACTTTACATAAGGTTTATTATAGAAACATATAAATATTTTAAAAACTTTACATAAGGTTTATTATAGAAACATATAAATATTTTAAAAACTTTACATAAGGTTTATTATAGAAACATATAAATATTTTAAAAACTTTACATAAGGTTTATTATAGAAACATATAAATATTTTAAAAACTTTACATAAGGTTTATTATAGAAACATATAAATATTTTAAAAACTTTACATAAGGTTTATTATAGAAACATATAAATATTTTAAAAACTTTACATAAGGTTTATTATAGAAACATATAAATATTTTAAAAACTTTACATAAGGTTTATTATAGAAACATATAAATATTTTAAAAACTTTACATAAGGTTTATTATAGAAACATATAAATATTTTAAAAACTTTACATAAGGTTTATTATAGAAACTTCTATTTTTATATTTAAAAAAATAGTAACCAACTATAAAATGTAATTTCCTCGCTTATAAAAAACCCGAAGTACTATTCAAATTTAACTAATCAAAACAAATAAAAATTAACTAATCAAAACCAATATCTAAAAAAATAAAACTAAATCTGTATTTTAAATTTTAGGTGGAAAAAAACTCCAAAATCTAAACAAATATAGCCACACAAATAAAAATAGTAATATATGAATCCAAATATTTAGGGATTACAGTTATCTTAAAAACGGTAATAGAGTACGCTTTTTTTTCAATTAAATAGAAATAAAATTTTCAAAAAGTGAGGGTGATTATTAATTTTATTCAAAAAAAAGAAGAAGAAATGCACCACGTTAGTCTGTGGAGAATTTTAAGGAACAATTTCAATCAGTGGAGAATTTTAAGGAATAATTTCAAATTTTAAAATTAATATAGACACTGAAAAATAAAAGTAAAAGTACAAACATAACTTTCCTAATAATAATAATAATAGCAAAGGACAGAAATTACATACTTTTAAGGCAAAATTACTATTTGTCCCTTATAAGTTATAAGTTTATAATTACAGAAATCCCTCAAAAATTTAAAAAACGGATACAATAATATAAGCGCTGATACATTAATCTGATGCGCGAGATACATTAATCATTAAGTAAGATACATTACATTTTATACATGATACACTAATTTGATATACATTTTATACATGATACACTAATCTGATGCGCGATGCGCGAGATACACTAATCTGATGCTCGAGATACACTGATCTGATGCGCGAGGTACATTTTATATATGATACACTAATCTGATGCGCGAGATACACTAATTTGATGCGCGAAAATGAGGAATTTTGGGATTTGTAAAACTTATAGGGGATAATGGTAATAAGTAAACTAAAAGGTGGGATTTCTCTAAATTTTCCTAATAATAATAATTTATTATTTTACAAATGTTCCAAATGACAGCCACACAAAATAATATATATAAAATTCTACGGTTTCAAAATATACATATACACGTCCTTTTCCTACCAAAAAAATTACGAAAATATTAAAAATATACAAAAAATATATATATTCTTTTCAATTCTTTCCTTTCAATTTTAATTTGAATTGATATGATTTTTTATCTGAATGATGTTTTATGAATTTCAAATTGATGACAACTTCTCATCAACGGTTTATTCAGGGGCGGACCCACATGGAGGTTTTCGGGTGCTCGAGCACCCATTAACCTCGTATCGAACTATATATACTTATATAGAAATTAAGACAAAATCATATAAAACTCAAGGTGAGCACCAATGCAACAAACGATTCATTTGGCGTGTTGGTTGAAAGTGGGTGCTCAAGGCTTACATTTTGCTTCTCAGCCCGAGTTCGAATCCCTCTAAACACATTATTTCTACCTTTTCAACTCTTCTCTTTCTACCTTTTAATTTCCAATTACGCTTTCTTTTATTTATTTATTTACTTTTGTCCTTGATCTATTTTTCCTTTCACATTGTCCCGCTAAATTTTCTTAAATTAAATTTTATACAAAAGTTGCAAAATTCCTTCTCCCTTTTTCAATATATTTTTTACTCTAATTTTTTTATTAATTTTTTTTTCGCTATCATATTTAAATATCATTTTTATGACTAGTGTTAAATTTGTGCATTTATATTTTGTGATTGATAGTTAAAGAAAGCAACCGCGATCTTAAAATCTTGAAGCGGCAACTGCTCATGTCTATTATGCAACTTAATCATGATTTTCCATGTTTATTGACTCTTACTTTCTCGTCAGTCTAATTAGGGGAAATGAAAAGGGAAGGGAAAAAATTATATTCTAGAGCCTTCATTAAGTTCTCCAACTCAAAAGCAGAAAAATTCTCCTTCTCGTTGGTTTGCCTTTTTGGTAATTACAATCGTACGTGAAGGTATATTGTTCCTCCTTTTTTTTTTTTGTTGAACCAATTAAAAGAATTTTGATTGACTATTGAATTAAAAAAAACATTCTTGTTGAGGAATTTTAGCGCGCAATTACGCTCTTTGATTAATACAAGTTTATATTAAAAATAGTGAGCACCCATAACCATAAAATTCTGAATCCGCCATTGGATTTATTAACTTCTCATAATAAATGACCTCTTACTGCATTGACCACAATCAATTTGAAATCTATCTATATATCTATCTATACTATAATTGATAAATTACTTATATACACATCTTTTTTCCCCATAATTCTCATTATTCTCTACCAGTTCTAAAATTTTCCAAAATCCCTTATTTTACTCTCAAACTCCCAAAAGCTGAGTATATAAATCCTAACTCCCAGGTGAAAAGTGTCACATGTCACATGTTAACCCCACAAAAATTCAATAATTTTAAAATTTAAAAAATAATTTAATATTCTTTTAAATATATATCTTAAATCAGCAAAAAAAATTAAAAAAAATAGTATCCAACTAAATAATTCCATGTTTCTTTTTATTTCCTAAAATTAAAAATTAGTTATTGTTTTTTAATTGAATTTAAAACATCATGTTTTGAAATATAATTTATAAATAAAAGGCCAATTTATAAATAAAAGGCAAATTTTTATAATCATATTAAATAACAATATAATAATAATTTGAATAATTATGAATTTTAATTGCAAATCAGTTAGTTTCACGAAAACAATTTTTTAATTTGAATTTTAAAATTTCTTGTTTTGTAATACAATTTAAAAATAAATGGAAAATTGTTAAATAATAATAAAAATAATGATAATAATACTAATAATAATAATAATATAATATAACACTAATAATAATAATAATAATTTGGATAACAATAAATTTGACTTGCAAATCAGTTAATTTCAAAAAAATATAGACAACAAAGTACATGTTTTCCCGGCTCCTCTATTTTAGCTAGAGCCGTCAATATGGGCTAGGCTACGATTTTTAGAGCCCATTTAAGAAAAGAGTTTTTTAGCCCAGCCTGAATAAGTCTGTCGATTTGTGGACCTTGAGAAATAT